TTTTTTTATTTCCCTACAAGGGAAGGGCCAATGCTATTTAGTGAGTTGCAATCAAACTTTCTTTTTTTCTTTTCCTCTTATATAAACTAACAAATGTCACAAAACAAAAGGGCAACAGGTGCACACACAGGATGTAAATCCTTGAAATGATCCTCTAATTACCTCCAATTCCACCAACTCCAATTCACTCTGAAAAGAGTCCTTCATCTATAATTTCAAAAAAAAAAAAAAGTCAGTTTGAAGGATGAGCTTCAGTCATTCAGTTAGAGTGGCTTCTCCTGAATGAGAGACAGTGAAGGTTTGCATGTTTATTTTTGTCTGACAGGTTTTCTTTTTCTTTTGACTCTCCAACTACCATCATATGGCATCAATCAAGCCTCTGCATAGGATACCCTGAATATGTAATCGCACCAAAGACAAGAGATGAGAATAGTCTTTTGAGAAGAAAGTATGGCAGAGTGAAGAGGCTGATGAATTAACTATTCATGCCTTAATCAAGGTGCTTGTTTTCTGCTCATGAGCGAAGGAGGAAGTGTGGCGTCCCATTCGGGGGAGGAGAACTGGAGAGCGCGAGGAGGAGGAGCTTGGCATATGCTAATGTAATTAAGGTTTGAATACGAAGAACAATATGGAGACAGATATGAAATGAAGTTCAGAGAGCTCTTTAACTGCTTCCAAGCTTTGTATGTGGGGTTGGTATTTTTCAAACAAACAGATAGAAGAAAATCTTAATGGTTTGACTTTAAACTGCTTCACAGTGAGGGAATAGGATGTGAGCAAACCTCAGCCAACACATTAGCAGCTCAACAGGGAAGAAGCAAGCACCAGGAGGATGGCAAATGACAGGTAATGTCCACTCCTGCTCTTACACATGCATGCTGATAAGCAGGCCCGTAGACTTGCACTATTACTTTTTATTTCTCCCCAGGTTACAAATTGAGGTGTGTCTTAGGCCTAATTTACCCTGTTTTCTTTTAAGCACACATACAGCCTTTCTCTTTTTTTTTTTTTTTACCTCCACTCATAAATGTATTTACATATTTACATAATGACAGTAAAATTTGCATTAGATTCATATCTATAATCATTTGTATATGTCTACAGGAAGATGCACTAAACATTCTTTGGATTTCGTGAAGCTTTTTATAGGAATAAGAGCGGAATTCTGTCTAATTTATTATCCCTTATATTGCAGCTGACCCATGTATATCAAACATGTGACCCCCGCTGTTACCTTGGAAACCAGACTGGCTCTGTAGGCGGCCAGGGCTTTCAGGTACTCCTTCTTAGCAGCCTCTGTTTTCCTCTTGTAGCTCTGCAGGAACAAACACAACAACAATTTTTGATTATGAGCTGATACCAAAGGTTGCAATGACCCAGCTTTCCACATTGACTGATGCATTTGAGACTCTGGGAATCATGTCTGTAATGAAAATAAAACAAAAAACAAAAAGCATTTCACATGCATTTGCTTCACAATCTGCACAATTATCAGGTCAAGGGGATTTTTTCCCCATTCAATGATGCCGGTGCATATGAATCATTTGCTTCTTAAAAAAATCCAATTCAGCCCAAAATGAAATGTCAAGAAACATTCTGCACAATAACATGAAAATAGAAATTAAACGAGGAGTGAGAGCCTGTTTGTCACTTTGCGCACTGCTTTTTCAGTGTTATTCTCTATTAAGGCTGTTGCTCATCTCTTAATCAGAGCTGATGTCGAAGCAAATCACTCAGACGAGAGAGAGAGAGAGAAAAAAAAATAAAAGAACTCAAAACAGCTTTAGCAAAAAGGCAATCTTGAACCGTCTGAATGAACCTCAAATGATGCGTTGAGACAGGGAATTCAAGTTAATGTCATCACATGTCACTCACAGCCTGTGTGCAACTGCTGCTGCCTTTTTCACACAGCAAAAAGTGAAGGATAGAAAGTCCAGCCTCAAATCGATAAAGGCTCAGATCTCAGCATTTTAATACGAAGGAGGGCACAGTTATTTTGTGAGTGATTTCAGAGGGTAATTACTGATCTTCTATGAGATACTGTCAGTGGCAACATGGGCAGGGTCATCTTTTCTCAGAGAGGTGGGGTAGAATAACCATTAAGCATTCATGGGTTGCCAAGTGAGCATAGGCTGGCAGCCGCTGACGTGCATACACTCAATAAACAAACAAGCAAACAAACAGGACAGCAAACAAAGCGGGATGAAGCCGGATACAATCTCTTGCTCAAACAGCTCATGTTTATCCTCTCTCTCACCCATATTTACAGTATTATCGTTATTGCTTTGACATACAGTGGCTTCCAAACCTGAAACTTCACATGCCTTTTTTTATATTTGTCATCTTACACCATTAATAATAATGTAATTATAATTTATTTAAAGTTAAACAAAGTAAAAAAATGCATTTGTATGCAACTCTCTTAACTATCATACCACTACATAATATTTAATGTAACAAGTTATGATTAAGTTAATGTTCACCTGTGTTCAATTTGATTAAAACAGGTTTTATATCAATATGTCAGGGGTTTAATAAAATCTAAAAAATAAGAATGCCATTTTAAACTTCAGACTTCAACATATTTAAATATTAAAACTTTTTTTCTAAACAGGTTTGAATAGGTGGTGTAGGATGCAGGAGAATGTCCTGCAACTGGAAAGTTGCCGGGTCAAACCGTAGCTCTATCTGTCTCAATTGTTTTGTCCTTGGGCAACACACTTAACCTGGATTGCGTACTTCTGTCAATGAGCGCCAGGGTAGCTGTGGCTATGACATAGCTCACCACCATTTTGTGTGAATGTAAATGACTAAATGAAGTGTAAAGTGGTTTGAGGTCCTTCAAACTGATGAAGCCCTAAACAGGACTCACCATTTCACCATTAAAAACACATGGGAATCTGCCCAAACTGCAGACAAAGAGAGCAGTAATGAGAAAGACACCCAATTATCCCATGGTAACCCAGGAAGAGTAAAGATCTACAGCTTTGGTAGGGTGTCGAAAGGAGAATTAGTTGTGAACTTCCAAATTATGGCCTTTGAGGTGAGAAGAAGCCAGGGTTGCAATATGTTTGTTTAAATTTATTTTTTGCTCTTTTTTTTTTTTTTTTATAACTGGGAAAACCAAAAAAACAATAATGAAACATGATGGTGGCAGCATCAGGCTGTGGCAATGCTTTTTATCAGTGTTCATGAAGAAGTTGGTCAGAGGTAATGTAAAGGAGGAAGGAGAAAATTTAACTTTTGCATAAAACACTTTTAGGCCACTTTCAGACTGAAAATCCATGTTTTTCAAAACCGGGTTGACCCGCTAACAATCGGATTTTGGCTATTTTTCCATTCAACCTAAAAGCTGGGTCTGACACCCTGCTGGCAAGCTGCGTTGCCTCGGTCCCCCAACACTGCGTGTTTGAAGACGGCATTATGCTGGGTGTGCGTTGCTGATGTTGCTGAAATCTGTGAAGTAAATAATGGAGAGCAACATGGATGGAAGCCAGAGCGTATCCAAGTATTCTCTATTGTTTCGCTCTGCTGTCTGTCCTCAGAACAGTACATTTAAACAAATCTCCACTTCTCCTAAGATTATTAGGAGCTCACATATCTCTCTATCTTGCCAGTGCTGTGCCATGATTCTCGATTACAAGCAGAGTTGTTCGGACTTGTTATTTAATAAGCAACCAGCGTGACCAGAATGTTGTGACGTACATACGCTGCACTGAAAGTCATCGTGTAATTTAGCAGGTCAACCTGGGTCTGTTGTTCCCAAAGCATGCTGATCGCAACTTAGGTGATTTTAACGTGGGTTGCTTGCCGAGTCGCTTGACCCGGGTAGACTCGTTAGTGAGCTGTTCCCATTGCCACTAAAGGCTGATTTTTCCCGGGCTTAAACAGGTTTTTTGGTGGCTATAAAATAACTTGAGATTCATGCAAAGATTAAGTTTGACTTGCTGCAGTGTTTTTACATAAGTTCTGAGGGAAAGACAAATGCATGCCACACTTTTTAGCTGTTTCTGATAAAAATGTTGAATCCCAGGTGTCATTTACCTTCCACTTTACTGATATGCAGTGGTTTGTGTTGTGTTATAACAAAAACCTTTGTGGCTGTAATGTCAACACTCTATGAAGCAAGTCTCCGAACTTGAAACTACAGTCAATAATCATAAGAAGAACAGCTCCCAGAATAAATCTTTAAGTGACTACGCACATCTTATAGACTCAATTGCTTTGCATTTATTAACCTAAACTACTCCCAACAGTCTTGATTTAGAATTAATTTAACACAACTAATGATCTACACAGAGAAAGATACTTTTAGGCAAATTACTATGCCTAAGGATGTCTAATTATTCTGAAGTGAGCGGATTCATTACTGGTTAAAGCTGTCAAAGACTGTCGGTCACTATGAATTAAAAATAACAAAGCTGCTAGGGGGGATAGCATATGCCTCCAAAGTAATCCCGGCACAGAGGTGTCCCATCTGAATTAGCCCCCTAATTGTACCTTAATGAATTGTTCTTGTTTGATAACCAGTTAATTACAGGAGACAATAACCCTGCGCCCCACTGACACCGATGGGAGTGATTACCCTGCGAACGTAAAACAGAACGATTGGTGAGAAACAGAGGTGAGGGTGGATGTGGGGGTGTTGCCGACGGTACTGTAGTTAAGATAAAAGACATGGTATGCAGTAATGGAAAAGAGGTTAAAAGGGGGAGACAAAAAACTAACATAAGGTTTACAAAGGGGGAGAAATAAAAGAAAACAAAAATACACTGCAGGTAATATCTGAGCCAGGAGTGTAATATCCAAACATGCATCTTAAATGAAGTGACAGTCTGTTTTTTTCTTTAGATCTCTGACCTTTCAAGAGTACACAAATCCAAAACACAGACTCAATTAAATAAAGCTAAGGTTTCCCCCTCACTCCTACGCAAATCCATTTATCATTCATCCCCCTTTTCACTGCTCTAAAGACTGAAAATTGATCTTAATCTCAAATAACCAAAACAAGAAAAATGTTCTTTTGTGTTTCTGGGGCAGCCGTTACATGAAGTCATGTTGTGGAATAATGGAGCCCAAATAAAGCATTGATCTTGCACTTTAAAGCACAGCCCTTTTGAAGCTGCATAACTAGAAAAAAATTATAATGAAAAAGAAAAAAAAAATGAACATAAGTCTTTGTTCTGCTGTGCCTTTGGACAACACAGAGAAGGCAGAGAAAACACAATAAAACAAATGACAATAGTGAAAATGCTCCTCATTTCTACAGAAGAAGACGATCGTGAGTTTCTTTTATTGTATTTATGTGAATTTTTGCAGCATGGTATGTTTAAGGAGTGCTACAGATAATTGGAAACAGGAGCCCTGATTTAGTTAAAACAAAGCTGAGCGTAGGGGAAGGGTTCTGTTTACATTCTGGTGTTCCTGCAAGGCTCCAGAGGGTCTGACTGAGACATTAAAGAATACACCTCAACAATCCTGCAGAGATGATGTGACAGGCGCATGTTGGAAGAAAAAAGCATTTGGACATATATGTAAACACATCAGGAAGAGTTAGCTTAAAAATTAAAACTGAATGTTGAAATGTTTTCAGGAATAAGAAATTGCTATAAACAGCTTTCCTTACATATGCATGTTACTGTAGTGTTACTGGAAAAATATAATTATGCATGTATGACACTTTCAGGAGCAATTGAATATACAATAATGACTTTAATTAATGGTAGATATACCCCATTAAACTTCTTTACATATGAACATGTTACAAACACAAATTTGTGCATGTTATTTGGACCTTTTTTGGTAAACATATATAAGGCAACACAAAATTATAAACCTCCAACATCTAATAGGAGGATACTGTTTAATTAACTAAATGGTAAGTGAATGGCACAAATGCATCTCTTCAAGACATGGCAATACACACTGACTAACATGTGTAAGAACGCTATCAGTCAAAGAAGCCGCCAATAGCCCAAAAACTCTGGAGAAGCTGCAGAGGACCTCTGCTCGGGTGGAAGAGGTTGTATTTTATGAATTGTTCACTGAACAAAAGTTGTCCTTATGATCAGTGGCAATAAGCTGTTCGACTTGCAGGTCACTACAAGACATAAGAAACGACGAAAGCCCAGCTTTTTTTGCCAGCAAGCAAAAAATTGTGGGTTTCTAATTAAGCCATAGTAATGGCAGGCTTATGTTCTTGGAATACTCTTCTGCGTCATGGAAAGGGAAGGTAAATATGGGATGTAAACATACAGCTATGGCTACAATGGAATGCTTAAGATAAAAGCATATTTATTTGTAGAAGGAGGTCTGAGGCACTCAGGAAAAAAGTTATTAAGGAAGCCATTATTGGTACATAGCTAATGTGATGAAAATGCGGTAACATGTTTCGGCTTGGAGATAAAAACACTATGGACATCAAAAGAATATTCACCTTTCTATATAAATGGGATTGAGAGAAAATACATTTTAAAGAGAGAATGTGAGTGAGAGTAAAAACTGCCATAAATCAAAAAAAAAAAAAAAACACATTGATCTACAGGATACCAGACAGAATGAGGATAAGAGACTACAGAAAAGGGTGGACAAGTCAAGTTCGCCATTTAAATCTGCTATTCAGTAGCTTTTAATGTGTAGTTCCAAAATGATTCTCTTTGCAGGAGTCTTTTAAGTCGATCACCATCTCTAACTGACTGTTGTGCTCTGTACTCAATATTTTAAGGAAGTCATAGATACAATGATTTACATCTTTTTTGTGGACTGCGAGGCACTACAGTACTGGGGGGTTTCCTGTAGTCTCTTATCTTCATGCTACCTGTAGAGAAATGTTTTCTTTGACAGCTTTTACCCTCAATGTGGTAAACTGATTTTTTTCCTAGTCCTATTTATATAGAAAGGTGTATAGTTTTTATCTGTCTGGATAATGCTCTCTTGTCATTAGCAGATCATGCTGATCATGTGACCATTTACCTGCTCTAACTAAGCAGCTGTTTTTAATTGTCTATTTAATAAACCTTAGGAAAGACTGACAAACGTTTTGCCATTGCCCTGACGAAGGCCCCTCTACCCGAAATATGTTGGCACGTTTTTACTCCTTCAGCCATGACCAAAAAAGGCCTTTTAATAACTTTTTTTCCTGAGTGCCTCAGACCTCTTAAATTTTTTACTTGGATACTTTACTGAAGAGCAACATAGGAACATACTCGCACTCCCTACAAGTACTCCATGCTCAGTTTCTTTGATTTCATATTTATTTGTAAAAATGGCCTAGTCAAAGTCCAAAATGTATGTTCTCAAAAATAATCTGGCATGAACTTGGCTTATTATGAAGAGCTATATTTTTATATATATATATATATATATATAGCTATATATATATATGTATAGCTATATATATATATATATATATATGTATAGCTATATATATATACATGTATATGCACACTACACATGCACATAACACTTTTTTTTCTTTTTATTCCTAAAGAAATTTATAGTTGTAATGTTAAGACAGTCTTAAGACACTTTTTGTTACCCTTTTCAATCATATTCTCCATTGTGTTGATCTATCACATGATGTTGTAAGGTTAAATGACAGTCGTAGTCTTTTGCAATAATTAAGGCAATCACAGGGTTATTACCCTGACAGAGAACTCTATTTCACTTGATAATGAATCATTAAGTAAAGTTCATTACGTGTTCAGTGGAGTAATACGTCTAATTAAACACATGATGCACAAATAAAGATAATAGCTGTGGAGTGACACACTAAATTGAGTATTTTTACTGGTGTACTACTTGTTTGCAATTCTGTTCCTTTTTTTTTGTCTTCCTACGAAGGGTTATGCATTTGCATTATGTGAGATAAGAACAGAAAATCTAAAGAGTTTAAAAAACTACCAGGACACCAAGGGTTAAGAAGCACAAACAATAACATTTCTGGAGCAGATGTCCTTGAGGGAAAACCAAGGGCAAGGCAATTGCTAATCTTGTATTCCCAGCATGATCAAATCACCAGGCAACAGATATAAATAAAAGGACAGGAAATGAGGAATTCACATTCAAGGGTGTCAGTGGCGAAATGAAGATTCATGGTGAAGAGCCCTGGCGAAGGTGGCAAAAATTAACTACAAATAAAAGGGACAGCCGGCCTCCAAAGTCCAGCGTATAAAGCAGTTGTGGATAGGAGAGAAAAAGACATGCTGGAGAGGGGCGCAGAGGAGAATGGGCTGCACTTTGTCATGAAGACAGGTGCTTTTATTTGACATCCAATAGGATGTTCCCTTCAACTGGATATTCTAAAAATATGAGTCTGCGCACGATCATCAGACTGTCTCGTTTTCCGTTCATTTCACACTATCATTTGTTACCACAAAACACACAGAAACCTATTCAGCTCTATTGGCCTGGAATGTTTAAATGAAATTGAAACTGTGCTCCATTGTGGGAATCAATAAAATGCAGTAAATGTTAAGGCAGTTTCATATGCACAGGTCGGGATGTAATAAAAATGAATTAGGATGATTACACCGACGCCGCTGATGTCTAAAAACAATGTTTCGCTTCCTTCAATAAGAACATTTGAAACCTCACTGATTGTGAATGCCTGATCAATAAATAAACATATGAAACAAGAACGAAAAGCTCAAATGTGACTATGAATAAAGAAATGTGTCAAGTCTCATGGTTCTGCAAGCTGTTTTAATGCACAGCAGTTAAAATCTAAATCGGTGCAAATGCTGCTTGTTAGTTTTACTTCAAAAATACATTACTTTGTATAGTTTTAGCAAATAAACAACTGGCAGATTAAAAAAAAAATTGAAAAATGAACCGTAAACATTCTAATTATCTTTGATTCAGTGGTAATAGTAACTAGTTAGTAAGCTGAAACCTATATGATGGGCCTACTATCATTAATGTCTATTCAATTCTAAGCTTAACGAGTTCATCAAACTAAAATCCATAACTCGCTCAGGTTTTTCACATCGTCAGGTTACATCCACAATTAGAATTTGTCAAGTCAGGTTTACATTTTAGTCTGATCTCCTCTAAAAATCCAGAATGAAGGTATCTAGTACCTAATTAGTAAAAATACTTCTATGTTTAATTGAATCACAGTATAAACATGTCTGTTCTGGAAAGGTGTTAGACAACATTAGAGAGCGAAGAGCATCATGAATGCCAGAAACGTGGCATGAAAAAGAGTGATAAAGTTTTGTCCTGTTGCAGTGCTCAATCATTGGAAAAAAGTTGTGTTGCACCGATACCGATACCAGTATCAGGCGGGGTCCCAATACAGCACTAAAATGGTGCTATTGGTATAGCAAATAGGGCATCGATACCATTTTGAGAGCCAAAAGTTTATTGAACTACTGTCACCCATTCCAGGTAGGCAATAAAAAGTTCTACTTGATTCACTTTATGTTAGTCTTTTTTTTCCTGCTTCACAAAGGTAGGCAGCAGCTTGACAAAGTCATGATGGCAATTATTTTACATCCAAGTAGTAAGCCGTTCCTCATATATACACACACACGGATAGGGCTGGGTACCGAACTTCGGTTCTTTTATGGTACCGACCGAAATGCTTCGGAACATGCCTCGTCTTTCGGTACCAAGTTTCGGTGATTGGCTGTAACACTTAACATGATTGCGTCATCCAGGAAAAATACATAGGTGGTCACGCCTACAGCCAGGGTTCAGGTGTATCTGTTGTGAACTGGTTGCGAGCGTCGTGGAACCCCTTTAAAATGCCCCCCAGGTCAAAAGTGCGGCTTCACTTTATTAAGACTGATGCTAATAGTGCGCAATGCAATACATCGTGCACGGAAACAATTTAAGAGCAGAAAGTTGCTCGGTGTTTGACTGCAAGAAGAGCGGACCGCAGCCAGCGCCACCATCCTCCTCTCAGCAGCCCGTGGGCAGAGAAAAGCCAGAGCGGAGTGAGTCATGCTGCTTTCAAACTTGACGCAGCAAGAGCAGCAAAATCGCGTCTGCTGCTTCCCTTTTGCTGCATGTACCAGCTTCTGACGCGCGGCTGAAGAAGCTTTGCTGCTCTGGCTGCGTGGTTGAAAAGTGTGTCTGACGCACGTTGGGCGGAGCAACTCTATCCTTTATTTGCCTTGCAGCTATATTTGCTGTGATCAGTGGGAATAAAGTAATTTTATTATGTTTTTAAGTGGGAAAATCCACCTGAAAACTTAATCAGTGCAGTCAGTTCATCCTGCAGTCCAATATTTCTGTCGGAGCCGCTCAGACCCCCACATACCAGCGGTGCACTGTCAGTAAGATCCCGTTCAACGGGCATGTTTGTCAGACATGGTAATTTTTCTAAAGGAAAACTGCTAAGTAAAAAGGTCCTCACAATGTAACAGTGAATATTAGACACTGAAATTTTTTTTTTTATGTAAGAGGAAAAATGTAAATGGAAAAATCAGAGCTTAAAATAAAACTCAAGATTTGTACTTTTTTATGTTGTGTAATTTTCTTTTTATTTTTTTTATTTTATAAAACTGGTATCGAAAAAAGTATCGTTCAGGAACCGGTATCGAAATGAAGGTATCGGTATTGGTACCGGAACCGAAAATTTTTTAACAATACCCAGCCCTACACACGGACATCAATTTTAAACGGATGGTATCGATACAGTATCGGCCAATGCTGCACAGCCAGGTGTCGGGTATCAGGGCCAAATGGCATTGCGCTAGAAAAAAAGATTACCCACAAAGACAGGGTCTGTATGTGTGTAGGAAAACCAGAGCTGCACATCAAGCTACAGATAAAACGTATTGGTGGTATGTGAAATGGTCAGTGCTAATTAGAAAAATTATGCAGCTTCTAATAAAAGGAAGATCCTGGAAGAAAATCTTTTAATGGCTGCAAAAGATTAGAAACAGGAAGAGAGGCTTTATCATCTAGCAGGAAAGTGATCCTAATCATACCACCATTTCTAGTGAATAGCCATAGTTTTCAGATTTTTACCTGTTTCTGCTCCTCTCCAAGTCCGTCCCACATGGAGGCAACTATTTTGGAGACATCTCCAAAGGTTGCGTTTGGATTCTGTCCTTTGATGGCTGCCTGGGTGTCTCTGAAGAACAAGGCATAGGCCGACACGGGCTTAGTTGGCTCATTAGGGTCCTTCTTCTTCTTCTTCTTCTGGGGCTTGGGCTTGGGTTTCATCATCTCGGAAGATGGTCGTTTTTCACCAGTTATCTGGAAGGCAATCAGTGCACACACAACCAAGAAATAGCTTATTGATACTGAAACTATTTCATTTTACCAATTTCTTGTAAAAAAAAAAAAAAAAAAAAAAAATCTTCAGCAAATGAATAATTACACCTCTGATGAATGGTTGTAACGCTGGGTCCAGGTGAAGCATATAAACCTAATTACCTCTATAATTTGATTGCTCAGTTCAATAACCAACATTTGAATATTGCAGTAATGATTCACTGACAAGAGCACTTTCAAACGGAGGCGCTAGTTGACAGCAAACCGTCTTTTCTTTTTCTCCTATGACACTCTGTCAGAAATATCATGTGCTAGTTGAATTTATCAGACCTTTTCAAATCTTTATTTTGCAGTTGCTCAGCAAGTCATAAATTCAGACTTTTCATGCCTGGGCTGAAGGGAATTTTAAATCGTCTGATGTATCTGCTCTGGCTTTGATGTGGTCTCAGAATGAATTGGAGAGAGCAAATGGAATTACTTACTGATAGAAGAGATGGTAATCATTTTTATTCGCATGCGCCCTGTGAAGCCCAGCAGAGATGTATAGGACTAGAAATATATTTCTTGAACTAAAGCATCCCCTTTACTTACTTTACTTATATTGTAGCACTATGAACTGGCAGCTAAAATGAGATGAATCTGAAACATTGATGAGGTGGAGAAATTAGTGAAATACTAATCTGAATTCCTACTCATTAAATTAATAAAATTTAAGTAAAATAGGATGCATAATCAAGTTAAAGTACAGCTTGCATGAAGACATTAAAAAAAAGACTATAATTGAACATGGATTTAGAGCAACAGTGGAGATCAGAACCGGGGAAAATTGATGAAAAAAAGTGATTGATTTAAAAAACAAACATTGTTCACATTTTGTGCTGTAAGAAAAAATAAGAATAACCCACTGAATATCTAGTTCTTTATAGAAAGATTGACATTCTGATCTTTTATAGCTCTAAAAAGAATTCAATTGAATTACAGGTTGTGAGGAATATATAGATTGTAACCCATTGATCCAAAGATACCAAAAAAAATGTACTTTGAAGTTGAGCAAGAACTTAGGACACCCCAACATATAATAACTAGTCTGAGGATCTTAACTTTGACTCAGTAAGGGACTTTCCTATTTCTCAATTCTGAGCCAGGTCTTGATGGACTCACTAGTATTTTCTAGGGGGTCATGTTGCAGGGCCTAGTTCTTTTTCAGCTTATTTTTGTTTTAACAGATAGTCTAAAATTTTCTTCAAGCTCACCCTGATAAATGGCAGAATTCTATTGTGGTTAAAAGGCCTGGTATACAGCAATGCATCTCCAAACCATGACACATCCACCTCAGTGCATCACAGTTTGCGTGACAATCTTTCACTGCCAACGCTGTACTAGGTTTATGTGAAACTTGTCCTTTTCCTTCTAAAAAACATATCTTTTATTTATTAGTTCTGGAATATCTTTTTTTATATTCTTCGAAAAATCTCACAATCTTTGCTACTTTGTCTTTTGCCTACTTTTGTCTGGTCTTTGTGTTTTTTTTGTTTTTTTTGTAGGGCAAAGGTTTCCTTCTTGCATATCTACAATAAAAGTTAAACATGTGCAATCTGTTTCTGATTGTATAGACATGTAGCAGAAGCCTTCTGTAAGCCAAAATTGCATCTGAGTGTTTTTGAAGAATTCTTTTAGCAGTTTAGGGTCTGCTTTCAGACAGAAGTTGCATGGATGGTCAGACCTGGTAATGCTGGAAGTTGTTTTAAATGTCACATGCTTGTAGACTACTTTTAATACAGCTGGATGTTTATTTTTTTATTTGTTTGCAGACTGCTTTCAATCCAGTACAAGAATCATCAACTGTAAAAGTCTAACTGGCTTTCCTTTTCAACATAGGGTTTACCAATGAAGCCTTTAAATTTCTAAGTAACACCTATCTTCCACAACAGATCACTTTTATCATGTTTCACAGGTAAAGTATTTTCTTCAAATATCCAAACATGTCAGAAAATCTCTCAGGGCTCTTTTTATAAAGAATATTAAGTGTGTGTTTTTAAGATTTCACCAACAACCAACCAAACATGGAAAAGGGGCTGAACCATGTCAAAATAAAACTATGCTCTGTAAAACAGTTGGAAACACATAGAAATGACTTAACAGTTTTAAATTCAGCTCCAGGGAAACTATCAAAAATCCCTGACAATTTATATTAGAATCTAACTGTAGTTGTCTTTAAGCCATCTCAGACAAGCCCCTGCCTCCATCTTCAGAGAAGCCACATCAGTACCTTCGAATGAGGATCTGTCTCCTCTTCCTGATTGGAGCTTGAAGGGGAGGGTGTGGCTGATTTACTCCCAGGAGGCGAGGGGGAACCATGAGGCAGTGCGCTCCGGCTGACCTGAGGGTTTAGCTGAGACAGTGCACTCATGGGATTGGGCAGTATCGGAGGTGAGCTGTTTATCATGTGGTGGTTACGGGCAGGATCATAATGAGCGGCGTCAGGGTGCTGGTGATGGTGTTGCTGTTGGTGGTGGTGGTGGTGGTGCATAGCCATCTCCTGCATCTGGGATGAGAGAAGAACACCAGCTTTACTATCTTCTCTGCTCAAAAAAATAATTGTTGCCAATTAGCCAAATTTGCAAATATTTTTAGGTGGAGATGACATTTCTTATTCGGTATGGTTTGTGTTGAATAAAAACCATTACAGGCCCAAAAGTCTGCCAAAGCCTGCAATCTTTACTTGTACCATTTGAAAATTTGAAATCAATTTCTTAATCTGCAGTAGAACAGCTTCACTCAAGTTCTCCTAACTTTGGAGGAGACTAAAATTCAACAATGCCTTAAATATTGACATGTTTTTTTTCTGATGGGGAATAAATAATTGGTATGCACAAATCATAAAATATGGCCCATGTAGATATTTACCTCTTTAAAACATTTATCTAGTTCCCTGAAAATATGTATTACAAATTCTGATTGAAACAGCATCGCAGCCACCCATAGAAAGCAGTAACTTTTTTTTTTATTTCTCACTTAACTAGTTGGTTTCTGTGCCTTTTTTTTTGTTTTTTCAGTTCCTCACACTGAGTTTTGCTTTATTTTACTCTTATTTTGTACATTAACTCCAAGTCTGTTGTTTTGGATCTACATATCACTGCAGTAATCCTGAAAATCAAAAATTGAAAATGTCAGAGCTGTTTTATAAGCTTACAAAGTCAAACTAAAAGTCATGACAGGAGCTATTTCAAAGCCTACGTTTGCAGTTATACAGGCTGAAATGGAATGAAGCAGACCAGAGGTGATACAGAACCTATGCTGAACCAGCACTTTGCAAAGAAGATATTTTATAATGGGCTACATCAATAATATTGCATGTAGTGATTGCAGTGAATAGATTGACCTCCTAAACCACACATTGCTTTGCCCATAATTAGCAGCTGTTGCCCAGAATTGCAACGTGTTTAATCTCCTTTTCCTTTTTGCCTTTTTACTTTAAAGCTATAAAAAAAATGACATAGATACCTGGTATATAAATGACTTGTATTCAGCAATTATTCTACTTGGCTTCATTGTTAAACAAATTCACTGCAATGCTGTACATGTGACTGCTATCTATACATCCAAAAAGGAAAGGTAGCTCTAACAAGAATAATTTTTAGTGAATCTAAAGAACTTTCCTTTCCTGAGCCTCTTCATTAGTCTTTAAGGTAATTCTGATTCCTTTTTGTCATATAGATAAATTAGAGTGTTGAAACCTTTTACTGTATGTCAGACGTTCTAATATTAAAAAGCCTCATTGCAGAGTCGCAATGATCAAGAACTGAGCAGTTAGCATCTTTTGGTTGTTGACTATGACATGTTTACAGTCGCAGCACATCACTATGTAAACATGTTTCTAGTAATCAGATACTTTTGAGTACCACTGAGTTTATTTAAACAAACTAATCCAAATGCCTAACTGGCAGTGCTTTCTAAGCAGCAGTTCTGTTTCAACCGCAGTAAACACTTTCTTTGGCTCAGTTCTGCTGGTTCTACCTTGGTGCCAACCTGTAGTTGGTCCAGAGGAAATATCTTCCTTTTTTTTTTTTTGTAAGGAGAAGGTAAGCTCATGACAGCCAGAAGCAAACTTTAACTTTTATCAGTCCCTGAGTAACCTTTGCTTCTGATATGGAGAATTTGTGACAAAAAAAATTCAAACATCATAAAAAACGTAGACATCCTCTAAACATCCCAATAGATTCAATTTAGCGACCTTGAAAGGCTACACGGATGCAGGATTTGATATCAATTTTTCCAGCACTGATAGTCTTTCTTTGGCCTCGATCCTTTCACAAAGACACCAAACCTTAGAAGGTGTTGCGAAACATTTTAGTGCTGAAAAAGAATAAAAGCTTTAAGAAATCTTGTCTAAATCATAATCAATAATTACAATTACTATAAGAATTTTTTAATACTAGAGAGATCTTCCGATGTTTTTCTTGTTTCTCATAAGCCCTAAAAAACAGAATTAAAACTAGAATAACAAACTCTATGCCTCTCATTACCACTCTTTGTATGGAAATAACCTTTCACTCTAATCTAACACTATTTTTAGCTTCTTACCATTAAGAATTCATTAACCCTATTTTTGATATTGTGAAACTCCCCAGATGGTATAGATCAGACAGTAGGTGGACAGGACCTAAATCAGCACATCTTTTGTTTTTTCTTCAATTAAATGTGTGATATCAGGACATCAGACCAGAATCATATGATTTATGTACATAAACCATCTCCTAGCACTTCAATCCTTAAAATTAAGAGAAGCTCATGGTGATGCAAAAATATGACTTTAACCTAGTTCTCTATCCCTATAAAGTCAAAGATCTGCTGTAGAACCAGCAAAGACTGGTTGAAGAGAAGTACTAGAAAAAAAAAAAGAAAAAAAAATGTGGTTGGATTTATATGCTCCTCAGATTCAAAGAACAATTCAGGGTAAATCAAATGATGTATTAAAATATAAGCTTTTCAATCTGTTAAATCCTGGTTGTGGTTATTCTTTTTTTTTTCCAACACAATGACTCACCCAATAAAATGTATCCCTACACAATATATATAATTGTAATTCTATTTGAAGATTTATCAATCAAAATTATATGTCATTTTTAAAACCATTCTCTTTCACAGCTATTAGGTGTATTTATGTTGAATATTTGAGGCAATAAATGCAGCATTTTTTACATATAATTGTAAGTGAAGAAGGACTTCAGTTCCTGCAGCTAAAAACGAATTCTTGAGAAGCTTTCAGCACCTGGTGAAGCAATCACTGAGCCAATGATATTGATCAACAACCCCATCAGCCCCCTGTAGGTACATTATGCTCACCATGTGCAGTGAAGTAAGAAAAAAAATACTTAGTGGAACGTCAAACAACATCTCTTTGCACTAACTGGGTTTTACAAATAGAAGCAAAAGTGGTGCTCACAGCTGGAGAAAGAACCCTGCATGAAGAACACCCTGCAATAATTACAGAGTCAGCCTTTCACAAAGTTCTGCTCTTAGCTATCTTTAATCTTCAATAATAACTGGATCAAAAGCTCTTCTCCAAGATTCATGTGGACATTACATGAGCACGGAGCAAAGGATGCTTTTAATGCAGGCATAAATGGGAATGTTTGGCAATTTACAGATCAGAAAGTGATGAGCTAGCATTTGTTAGCTCTTTTAAACATTTATGAGTTAAATAATACATTACACATTAGTGCAGTGCTAAAAAGATCAAATTGAAAGAGCCAGAGCATATGAGTTCTTGATAAACACGAGCAGAGGCTCAGAGATGAAGGCTTGGTTCTCTAATCATAATTGGTCCCAGTAGATCGCTGGAATAAAAATGGACTACAAAGTAATGTTGTGCACTGCTCTGGCCTGCTTTGAAAACTCATAATATTCACACTACATTAGATTCAGTATTTGCCTCAGCAGCTGCTCACAAAAGCCAGCCCTGAACAAAGACATTCCTTATGCATTTCAAATAACAAAGCCGTAACCCCCCAATGGAAATCTCTGACTTCTAATCAGGATTTAAAGCACAATTACTATACTCCTTAAAGCGTGAGAAAGTAGTTCAAACAAAAATAACAACAAAAAAGAAAACAAGGAAAATGAGTGAAAGTGGTGAAAATGAAAGTAACGTCATTAATTCAATTTTCATTTTTCATGTTCTTTAAGGATTCTCCATAACCAGGAAGCAATACAAAAAAAATAATAATAATCAAACAAGAATAGCCTATCCTATCATTGATGTGGCAGATGCATTTCCATAGCAACAGCCTCCTAGCAAAATTGTCACCCTTTAATCTGAGTCACACCATGTTTAATATCAACAAGAAAGAGACATGCAGCGCAAAGAGGTTTAGGAAAAGGAGAGCAATGCTGCATAGTGGAAAAGTTAAACAGGAAACAAATGTATGTCAGCACAGAAATACTTTCCTCTTGGAGGTATATCAGAAATTATTTTCATTTAAATAAAAGACTTTATCTTCTATATGAAGTAATTATTTTCATTGATATGATTAGGTTTACTTTAAATGTTACATATTGTTGCCAACCTCTGAGAATCAGAGGCTTTCTCACATTATATTTTATGTCACATTTTTGCCTCTTACTCAAAGCTGGCTCGCTGTATTAATTTATTCCTTGTAAGTTTTAGTGTCCTTAGGTCAACTGTTTTTAATTTGTGCTTTCACCTGAATGAGGAACAAACCACAAAAGGGTTATCACACAGTGGCATCAAACCTGGGCTAAATAAAACTGGCTGCAGACGGCTGTGCAAATATTATGAAAGAATCTGATAAAGGTTGCCGGTTGCCATAGGTACCGTATGCTAATTCCTAATGATGTCTTACAAATTGCAAGGTAAAAGTGCACTATGAGTAGCCCAAGTAGGTTTAATTGGTCTTTTCTCCATAGTGTAACTATATAGTGGCTGAAAACATTACAGGGACAAGAGCAGGAGGTACTTATACTTTCTCAGTCTATATATCCACAGCTTTTTTTTTTTAGCAAACAGAAATATATTTAACTAAGGAAGAACAATTTTACTGCATTGTAAATATTGTAAATTGTGGGATATTGATGACTGGAAGATAAGATACAGAGAACAGGCAAATGTGGTTTAAGGTTTCAAGGTCCGCCAAGGTTTGGAAAAGTCCCAAACTAACATACAATTCCTGAGGTCATCTTAATAATGGACCAAGCACTAAGGGAGAGTAGAGAGTAGCTCTGGGTTTCCTCTACCTTGTGCTCAGTGTTGATCGACTCTGTTAGTCGGCCTCAGCAGATGGCCGCTCACACTGAGCCTGGTTCTGCTGGAGGTTTCTTCCTGTTAAAAGGGAGTTTTTTCCTCTCCACTGTCGCTACAAGCATGCTTGGTGTGAGGGATTGCCTTTGAGTCAATGACTCATTGCAATCAACTGGTTTTCCTTAGACAAAACTTTGAATCAATTTGACTGTATGATCTGGTGGAATTGTAAAGTGCCTTGAGATGACGTGTTATGAATTGGTGCTATATAAATAAACTGAATT